GACATCGTATGAGCCAATCAAAAGTTAGAGCAATTCATAGTCCTTGCATACTAATTTCATATGACGCCATATTGGTTTGCGATCGACTACTGAAATAATACAGCGAAATATCAAAGTAATTTTACATATAATAGTCTTCTTTAGTATAGTTTTATATTGTATATAGTTTCCAATAGCTTTTTATATAGTTTTTATCTTAAAATATCGTCAAATGCCGTTTAAATCGGCGTGTTGTTGTCCTCAACATGAGGTGTGGGGATTCGGTAGTGTGAGTGTGAAACAGCTCAAAACGGCGACTTATCTCGAAGAAGACTATTGCAAGACGGGGCACAAGTCAACAGTTGGACACAAGGAAAGAAAACGAAAGATCTGTGTTTTCTGTCGAGAAAGAATCACATTGAACAAACGATGTGAGCTCCTTGAGGTAAGATTTTTGTCGTCCTTCAGCTAATAGCTTGCTATCTAACACGTCAGCTAGCGGGGAAGTAAAGATGAAACTGAGACAAAAATCCTATCGATTTTTTTTTCTCCGTAAAAACAAAAAAACAACCATCCTTGTAGAATTTTCGTCGTTCAACTCCGTGTAGTTAGGTACAAATACTGATCCGCATTTATAGGACATCAAGTTGAAGTGTATTTGTTGAATGTAGTAAAAAATATTTAAGTAAAAGTATAATAAAAAGTATAGTGACTTGAAATAACATTCCAATTTTGCATTTTAGAATAGAGTGACTGAAGACAATGCTGTGGAAACTATCCCATGTGAAACATCCCCTGAACTGTGTCCTGAAGCTTTCTTTGAACTGCCCACTGATCCATCCCCTGAGCTGTCCTACGAAGCAGCAACCAAGCAACAACCTTCGGTCTGTGATAAAGTTTACCAGGTCCCCGAGGCTTCTAGCGCTAGGATGGACTATTGTGCTTTGCAAGAGAGAAGAAAGCGTCAAATCAGAAGTGAACTGATGGACAGGTTGGATACCCTGCTCAATAGTTATTCAACTGGGGAGAGTACAGCTACCTTACTGTATGATGTTATGAAGTCCAAACGGTTCATGCAGCAGTATGGCAACTTTTTAAACCTGACATTGACAGCAAGTTGCTTGAAAGTTTGGCTAATGATTATAGAGAGGCAAAGGACAAAGAAATGTCTGCATCAATTAATTTACAGGCAGGAAGTATATCTGGTAAAATTAAAATTGGGGACACCCTAAAACAATCCAAGTTTGGATTAAATAGCATGGGTAATACAAGAACTGACATTGCCAAAGACATTGGGAGAATAAGTAAGTTTGGGGACGAACGTCGCCGAATCTTGTCAATCGTGGCTAGAGATCTTCCCCAGTCACAACTTCAGCAGGTATTTTCCTGCTCTAAAAACTCCATCACATCTGCTAGAGTTCATGCCATTCTATTTGGCAGAGGTGGTGAGCCAAGAGATGGACTGATATTCAAACGACAGAGTGTCAGCCCAGAGGTGGTAAAGGAATTCGAGGCATTTCTGCATCAAGATGAGATCTCAAGGCCATCATCATGTAGAAGTGTCCTCATCGGCAAAGAAGAAACTGGTGTTCGCYATTGGCAAAGTAGCATAAAGGATGTAATTCAGCAGTATATGCTTAAGTTTCCAAATGGGCTGAAAAGGACCTACATATATACACATTTGCCTGCAAACTTTAGATCTGATACCATGCTAGCAGGTCTATGTAATTTATGTGACGAGTTTGGCCACACAAATTTTGATAATCTGGATGTGCTTCTTCAAAAAATAAAAGAAGAAAAACTTATCAACAATGCTGAGGTCATCAAAGAAAACATGAGGAAGTATGAAAAATTCCTCAAGATTGTGTACAAAAAAAAGGTAAATATGTGTGGATTACAGCAAAAAATGATTTTATTACAATCCAACCCTTAAAAAAAGTTATTGTTGATTTTTTTTTTGTCTGTCTATCTATCTATCTTTTGAGCTGTTAATCATTTTCTCTTACTCATTTCCTCTTTGGAACAGTAATGTGTCAGTGAATGTAGTTTACAAAATCATAGAACAATTTGTAGAGTGAATTGAAATAGGCTTCAATTGATCATATTGAAGGACTTAAGCTTGTGTTCTACAATATTGAGTATCATAATTATCAAAGAAACATATAACATTAGTGACATTAATGTTGCTCTCTTTTCATTCTCAGGTTGAGTCTCATTCAAGTGTCAAAGAGTTCTGCAAAGACTTCGCCTTTGGCGAATGTTTTTTGGCATATCCTGATGTTTGTGTGGAGTTTGACACATTCTATAAGGATCTTCAATGTATCAAGGGTGCTGTCAACTCAGTTGTTGATACTGAGAAGAAAGAATCTCTATCTAAGAAATTGGAAGATTTCACCCAGGGGCACAAAGAGTATGTAGCACATCAAGTAAGAACAAAACACCAAGCTGACTACTACCGTTATGTTACTGCAAATATCAAGGCTGGTGAACTTGTTGTAATCATCGATTACAAAATGAAGTTAGAACTTGGCAAACRATTACGAGAGAACCAAAGAGAATGGTTTGGGAAGAGAGGGGTATCAATCCATGTTTTTTTTTGTGATGGCAAAGGTATGGTTTGTTTTTTTTTTAAAGTAACAAAATAGCAAAATAGCAATTAAAAAAAAGATGAAATATTAGACCTCATTCTAAGTAGTACTCCTTTTTCAAAAAAAACTTTGAGCACCAACTATTTTGAATGTGGAATGCTTTGCTTAGTAAGACTGATATTATGATTCCAAATAGAAACAAGCCCACATTTTTTAGGATATCGGGATCCTTTCCCCTAACCTACCTCAAAACGTTTGTAGAAAACACATAAAGGAAAAAAACACAGTGAGATTGTAAATTTAAAAAATAKTGTATAGRTTGCAACTGGTGATACAAGGATCGAGGTAGTAGATCTCTGGAGTGACGATACCAAACAAGATGCTTGGTTCACACAAAGTGCTCTAGATGTTGGCTTCC